TTGAAATATGGGTAAAATACATGGACAATTGTAGGGAAATGTAGGGAATTTTTGCGGTTTTATGGTAAGTATATACCCCCCCCTCGACGGTAATTTTTTGGGGTAAAAATTGTTTGAAAGAGGGGGTCGTATGAAACATTTCATGAGGGAGGGGGGTCGTAAAAACTTTTTGAAAAGTAGCAACGATAGGACCGACCCTGCTCCCCGGTACATTTACATTTCAACCTACTGTGGTCCAAGAAATGGTCCTGAATCAGGGGGACGGTTATCCTTGCCTAGGTCTTACGTTAGGGTGGAGGAGCCACAGGGAGGATGACCACATGTTGAAAATTGCCTAGGATGTGAGCAGGATGTGTGGAATGTAGGACATCCACCGGTCCTTATCAAAAGTACGCTCGAAATGAGTCGTTCACTTATTATCTTATCCGTAGTGATTCGCTAGCCTGAAAGGAGTGTTTTCTAGTACTACCTATGTGGCAACGGGATACCCCCCCCAACTGTTCATCTGCAAGCATTCCCTTTGAGAAGTCAATATCCCTCGTGAGAAACTGGCTGCTCTTGCCTACACACCCGGCGCGAGCTCTGCTTTGGAACAGATGGAATACTGAATGATTCATCCAATGTTAAGCAACTTTCTTTGATTTTTCGGCAAAGGTGGCAGTGCCTCTGGTATTCGATTCCTGACCGAGTAAAAAACTCCAGAAACTCAAGCACATGCGTCTCTCGAAAAAGTCCGAGCATCGTATTCTCCTCAGTGCGTTGGATAACGCTGGCGGCGCGCTTATCCTACCTGCGCCGAGTGCAAGGCTCTGAGGAGAATGTTGGAGCAGAAGGACTGCAGAATCGAAAAGCTGGACAGCCGGAATGCGACGAAGCTTTTCATCATGCTGGTTAAACCTCGGTACGATTAGTGAGAAGTGGAAGGTGATAGAAGTAGCACGTCCGACGGAGCCATATGGAAGAGGAGAAGAATCACGACAACAACTGTCACACAGTCCGCATGAAAGGGGGTTCAACCAGAGACGACTCAAACCAAAGCCACTATTTTCCTTCTAAATACAAAGGCACATCACCGTGGCAGATTTGAGGCTGTGTCGGACTGGTCTCAATTCAAAACTAGAGAATCGCGCCTATGATGCAACGCAGGCAGAGACTAGTGGAGTGATGTCGGAGAGTTAAACTGGAGAGGTCGTATCGAGCGCTCTAAGAAGGAGCGGGAGGAAAGTCTGTAAATTTCGGACTTTATAACAAGCGTGTACGTTACTGGACAGATGGTGAGAATCGTCGGAAAGATGAAATGAAGGCACCGTAGCCTTTGGTTCTGGTGAGAGTCAATATTGAAGTAACAGAAGCAATAGAGGTAGCCGATATCAATGAGTGACTTGCGACTTTCTGATGGCACCTAGGTTTTAATGGAGGATGCCAAATTGCCTTATGAAAGATGATTTATTTTTCATCAGAAGATGACGGAAGTGCTGCAAGCTGGATCATACCGTGGTATCAAGCTGGTGATTTGAAATAGCAGGCGTGGCCGATCTCTGAAACTTGAACCGGCTGGTTCGTGCTCCCGCAGCACCAGTGCGGCTTATGCCGAAAGACAAAGATGGACACTTTTTCAATAAACAACTGTTACCGGAATAACCCAAAAATACGTCTGCTAACTTCTTCACTTGTGGAGTGGAGCATTCAATCCAATATAAAAAAAAATTAAATCTAGGACGAAATGCAAACGTTTCGAATTTTTGTCGCTACGATGAAGATATGACGGCAAGACTAACAGCCATAAACCACGTGTGGACAGCATCGATGTCGCACACCAACGACTAGCTGTGAGCTCCACTTCATGCCAGTTTTATTCATGGTGAAAGCGCTCTTGAAAGGTAAAGACCATCGTCTGCACTGACGGCATCGCCCGATAGAGAGCAGCGAGGGAGGACTTCCAGGGGAAGTGCAGGAATAGCAAGCAAGTGCATAGATTCAGTGAATTGACACGACGAATTTATCACTCGCCCAATCAGTCCGAAACGCATCGGATGATGACGAATTCATTTGGAAGGCCTTCTTCGAATTCTCCTCAGATGGCGCTCATGGCCTTGGGGGTGGGGGGGGGATTACTGGTGTGGTTCACTAGGACAGAAAGCGACTTTTTCGCGTTTCGCAGCGCGAAACATTTTCGTTGCGGGAACCCCAGGTCCACTCATGATCAGCGGTGGACCTGAGGTTCCCACAACGGAAAAAGCTTTCGCGGGCGAAACGCGAAAAAGTCGCTTTCTGTCTTAGCGAACCACGCCCGAGGACATTCAAAACAGGAGCGATGGTAAGTGACACTAGTACTAAGCCCATTAGAAGGGAGAAACGTCAAGGAGAGCACAAATGGCTCACATCCTAGCCGTGGATCCCTTCCCTCCCAAAGCTTAGCCCCCAAATACTGCAATTGGCTCACTCACTTGAATGTCCCCCTAGCAAAATGAGCGCCAAATTTTATGTGCAGCATTTTAAGAGAAGTGGAGAACTTGCGAAATGAAGGTACACATATTGAGGGAGAATTGGCGAAAACCTGAAAGTCCCCATCGGTACTTATTCATTAAGCCACCTTGGAGCTGATGCTTGTAGCTGATTCGCTTACAAGACTTTCATCGATGCGACAATCGATACGTATCCACTGCACAATCTCTGATTCTCTCATCGCCGAGTATGTACCCGGCTTACATTGGATACATTATCCATAATTTGTCAAGTCAATGTATCGTAGAATTTTTGCTAGTGAGTTTTCAGGCTAGAAGCAAAGGGTTAGACATTCGGTTGCATGACATTTCTTTGAGTATTCTGGGAATAATAATGCAGCGCGAACGTGTCACCATTTTCCAACTCGAGGTCTTTATATAAGGGTTGTATCCTCTATTTCGGAGATCGAGAAGAGCGCCGAGTGCAGACCACACACCACAAGTGACGACGGCCAAGAAAAAAAAAGAAAAACCACTTTTTCTTGGCCGTCGTCACTTGTGGTGTGTGGTCTGCACTCGACGCAATTCTCGTTTCCCAAAACAGTATAGATGGCCGTAAGGGGCGTCACAGACCAAACTACATGTGAAGAAATATTCTATAATACATACTTTCTAGACCCAATCTGCCATTGTGGCACAAAAATGATTCAAAAGTTTTGTTCACAACCCAAAAATTCTTGTGATTCAAAAGTTTTTTTTTACGATCTCTCATAGCTGTTGATGCTGGATTCAGGAAAAAACAACACCGAATTACTCTGCTGTGGCTCCTGTTACTACTACGAAAGCAGCCCAAATTGGAGATATCCTCGGCAAAGGTCAGTGTTCAGTCTTCAGGTCATGTACATATATATTTTAAATAACCGCTACCAATCCAAAATGCGGTCTTTCTTTTGATCAACAACTTTAAACCCAAAATTTGGGATTTCTGGACAATGTAAGCAATTTGAATTGGAAAGAAAGTGTAGAGCATGTACCCATTTGGCGCTACGCACTATCGAAGCTGAAACGCTATGTCCGAATGATTCGCCGCATGCCCCGCCTGCTGTCATTGTCCCTCCCCCCAATGCTACTTTGCTCCGTTGCCACTGGCGAAGGGGATTCTAGGGTGTCCCCCAAGAGGCCCGTCGCGCGGCGAAGGAAGAGACGCAGATGCGGCAAAGGACGAGTCGCAGCGCGTGCTGTGCGATATGAGACGTAGTATGGTACACTCTATTTAACCTGACGCCTAACCGCTACAGTATGCGCTGCGACCAGGGTCAACCATGCGAAGGAGGGGATCGCATTTGTGGTTGATTTCGGGAAGGGGGGTCGCATTCAGGGGTTCCGTAAGCTCACATTAATCGTCATAAGCTCACTGAAGCCCTATTGTCCATTGTCGCGCACTTTCGAGCCGTGACAACGGCACATCTGTTACACACGTGTGCTACTCTATCCTACCCATAGAAGAGATTCCTCGACACGACCTCATCTGGGTGGCTGCTTTGAGAAACTAATTTTTATGCTATGTAGTGGCACCCGTCCACCAGTTTGGCCTTTATCTTGTCAACCCACTCCGCGACGATATGGGACCGGGCGACAGAAAATTCCCAAACTTGGCGAGACCACACTGCTAGTTCTTTGACATTGTGATGG